CAGGAATGTTTCTGCAACATTAGAACTCGATAGTTTGCCCGATCGCAATATGTACCGCACTAACAAATGCGTGATGCGTGGGATGCGAACTTAAATATCTTGAGAATAAATCGACGCAAATATGGACGTATATGATGCAAATATGGACAATAGTGCCCTAATAAATCATTATGCTTCCTTGCCCAAAAGTATTACAGGCGAATTCAAGCCAGGGGCGAATCCATAGAATACTGCAGTACCTACTCTTCAATTGTTTTGTTCACTTTAGCCGAAAAATTGCCTTTGTTTCACTTAATACATCACCGTCAACACCATTTCAACGTTTCGGACGAATTCGACGACTCCTTGTAGATTATTGTATGATTGGAATGGTATAATTCAAAAGCACAAGTTGAAAGAAAGAAATTGATATAAAAACAAAATATTTTTAGGTCTGTAAATTGTTGTAATATGCGGTTTAGTTCTGAGTGAGGCATTGTTTCGATGTTATTTACGAATAAGTAAACCAAATTTAACGGGGAAAATACATTCGTTATATGCAGTTGGTCTTTAAACCCAGTGTCGTCATGAGCTAGTAGATCGACCTTATTTTACCTATTTAAATTATGATGTGACTTAAATTGCCTATTTCTACCTCTGGTTGACGATATAAAAGATCAAAAAGTTTTTATATGAAGTTGGGAATATTGAATTCGAATTTCGAAAATCGCTATACACCCCTTAACTAGCATAATATTTGACAAAATACTACGGAATAGTGTCCTAGGTAAAATTATTTCGGCCTTTAATTACTATCTTTCTTGTGATCTACAGCGAGAAGTAGAATCAGAAAGTACTGATCATCGTAACTCTCAACCTCAATTTAGTCGTGAGAGGCAACGATGGGCATTATAACATATCTCCACGTAATACCCGGTTTCTACTCACGAGTTCGTGAGCATAGCTTGGATATTGACACCATGTTTCGGACAAATACCTCTGTTCGGGTTATTGTATCGAATTTTCGAGTGTGCACGAGCGTGCAGCTTCCGTTCTTGTTCAATGTTTCGTGAAGGGTCGTGCAGAAACTGGCATCCTTTCGTACAATGTGTCATGCTACCACGTCAACGCCTGTCATTAGTGGCCATCAGATGTTTAAAAAAATGACTATTTATAGACATCAAAATGCTCGCCTTAGTTAAAGATCGATATTTAAATCATTTTCAGTATTATTACGAATGACAATAACTCTCAACCGGTAAAGAACTTCCATTTTACTATTTTGGCTAAAACCTCATTTTGAGTTGCATGTTTCATTCTATATTTTAGGACCTCCAAATATGCTTTACGGCCTCGGTGAACACTATTCCACGCAAATAAACTAGTGGTCATTCAACAGAACGCACATATTTTCACATATTTGTACCTGTCAAGCAATATTGTAACACTATTTTTATCCGCAAAAGAGTCTCCAATCAGCAAAACATTTTGGGTCATGCTTTGATTCGAATTCAGATACCTACGTATTCAAGGCCATTCATGTACCCTACATAACCAATGTTATAGAAAAAAACAACTTCCCCGCGCTGTAAAGACGAAGTTACACGTTTGCATTTGCAATTTTCGAAAATTCAGATAAATTTCATGAGATTATTTCAAGATCTAATTTTAAAAAACAATTTTCATTCAGAAGGAAACCTCCATCTTCATTATTGTGGTTGTAGTAAAACGCTGAAGAAATGTTAATCTTTCTGAATTTTCGAAAATTCAGAGTTTAACAAAAATGTGTCGTAACTTAATCATTGGAGCCATTTCAGATATAATACATTATTTAATATTGCCTTCATTTTCAAGAAAAACTAATGGTGCTACAAAATGCCACAGACTTCCTCGTATTAGTTTTCTATTTCCTTTGGTCTGGATTGGCTATTCAAACTTGCCACATATTCTTGCCTGCTGCCATCTATCGCCGTCCAAAGTACCTTTTTGTGACATTTTCTTAATTTTTCGGTTTTCTTATTGTAGAGCGGAAATATTTTTTCATGATTATTAAAGAACAGTGAAGCCTCGTCCTAAATGGCAATTTTCTCTGAAAAATTTGGAGCCGTTTTCAATAAACTGGCGTTTAAGCGCTGCTGTAAATTTGATATTTGAAATTCTTTTTCACAGAAATTTTTTGAGTTTTTGAAAAACTTAATTTGAAGTCATATTAAGTACTTTAACTCACTGATACAATCGTGTTTACAAATTGTTGGAAATGTGCATGTCAACGGCGCGACAAATCTTTCACAAATTTTACACTTGTGTAATTTTAGACAAAAACAAAAAAAATACGCTTGTTTAACTTTATTAAAGAGTTATTAAAGTTATTTATAAAGAGTTATTAAAGAGCAATTACCACTATCCATTTGAAATGTTTGAAGAAACAATTTGCAGCCGTTTTTGAGAAAATTTCTGAAACGTTTCTGAAACATTTCTGAACGTTCGGAAAATGCGGAAATTTGATCTACTTTTCACAGAAAATGGTAGAGTTTTCGAGAAACTGTATCTGACATTATTTACAGCACATAAACTCATAAATACAATAATGTGAACAAATTGCTTCTAATATACATATTAACGACAAGAGAGGCAAGTCAAAAATTACATTATTCTAATTTTTGGAAAAACCAAAGAATAGAGCAATATGGTGTTTATGTTATCTTATAGAATACATTTAGCACTATTTCTACCAAAAGTTTAATGAAAAAATTAGGAGCCGTTCTTGAGAAAATCTTATTTTTGTAATGTTTTAAAATTGCTCATATTGCACGCAATATTGCCCGAAAACTACTAAAATTTTCAAAAAAATGTACATGACCTTATTGAATGAACTCACTATGGAGAACAAATTTTATTTGAAGGATAAATCTTTATCTTTAATTTTGTAGTTGTAGGAAGGCGCCCCAAAAAATTTGAAAATTTAGAGTTAAACTTGAAAATCTGACCTATGCCTCCTTTATAAGTGTATTTTTCTCTACTCTTACATGAAATTTAAAGAAAAAATTTGGAGCGATTTTTGAGAAAATTTTGAAAATGTCCGGGAAGCTTCATGTAAAGTATCCTCAAATTAAAAAAAAATTAAAAATATCAAAGATTCGACTCGAGTCAGATCGACATGGGTTTCTTCAATTTGGAAAATATCCTACACATGGTTTAGGCGCAAGTAGTGTTCACAGACACCAGACGGGCGTACGGAAGGACAGACGGGCGCCTTGAAAAGCAACCACACTTTTTAGGTATCAGGGAATATGTGTCTATTGTTACTATATTATGAGTGGGTAGTTTGGTTGTAGATTTATTTGTTTAGCACTTGAGAGTTATAGAAAAACTTTTATTTTTAACCATTTATTAACAATTTATACCAAAATAATAAACCAGTACCTTACATTTATAATGCTGCCCAGTACTACTTCACACTTCTTGGTAGCACAGTATCATTACTTGAAGAATACTAGAAAACATGTAGTAGGAAATGCACATTTAGTATTTAAAAAATAACCCATCCCTTTAGTCTCACAAGAAATTTACTTTTGTTGTGTAATATTATTTATTATGTGATGTTAAATAACTTTTATCAAATAAATATAACTATTAAATTTTTAAAACATAATGCCAAGATTTTTTTAAAGCAAATAGAATTTGAATTTGCAGAAATTGAAAAAAAATCTTCAAATTGTAAAAGAAGTAAATAATTCAAAAATAAAATCAAAACATTTACTCATTGACTTACCATGAAGTCTCACCATCCGATGTCACCTGTAGGCAAATCCTCAAATTTGAATAAAAAACTTCTGCCTCAGAATTTAAAAATAATAATATATTGTTAGATTCACAATGTGTGCGGTCTGAATAATACCTTAGTAGAAGTTCTTGAATATTGTATTTACGTAGTTTTGAATTCAAACCAAGATCAGGGGAAATGTAACTAGTATCTTGAGTAGTTTTAAAAAATATATCCCAAAACTTCCTGCAACTAGTAGGGTTTACGTTTCTGGAGTATGTAAATTATAATTGGACATAGAAGCCTTTAGTCTTACAAGAAATTACTTTTATCACATGTATATAAATATTAAATTTTTGAGGCATAATGTTAAAAAAAGCAAATGGTCTTTGATTTCTAGAATTAAAAAAAATTAATATTTGAACTATAAAGGAACAGAAGTAAACAATTCAAAAATAATAGTGTAACATTTATCCATTGACTTACTAAAAAACATATGGGAACATCACCTATAATAAGTTTTTTCGAACTTTGTATGCCTTTGAAGTTCTTATTTAAAGAATAATTGGGAGTGCAAAGTTGAATATGCAATATTAAGTTACTGTAAGTTATCAAAACCCCTAAAGCAACAAATGTTTATTGAATGACGAATTGTACATGTAAATGAAAAACCTGCATCAGTAATGGTAATGGCAAGCATTACAACAATACAATCACTAAAAATTAAGAGTTAAATTTAATAAACTTTTCATTTAATCTATCAGTATACTACACAACCAAAATAATTTCTCCTATAAAATAGTTTGTTTTAATTTTCATTCTAAACCTTCAATGTATTAATACTTGATTGTTGTAATTATGTTGTATAATACTTGACAGTTTGGCAAGCTATTTTCAATATACATCATATTTATAGATATTTGCATTTTAAATGCATATAAATATTCATAAATAGAGATTTAAGTATGGTATTTTATTCATTTATCTGTATTACCATTTGGCAAATACCTATTTTTTAGTTTATAATTTCATGGTTATTGAACCATATTTTCAAAACATCATGTTTGAATATTAAAGTAAACAAATTATTCTTCAATTTGTTGTTGTGAACAAATATTTAAATTTTAAAAACACGGAATGTTTCATTGTAATTAGGTTAAAGGGCAGGAAAGATTGTAGTTTAGAAAACGGTCCAAAATATTTCTACGAAAAATAAAGTATTACATTTTCATGAATTTGATAAATACAAACATGAAAAGAGAAATCCAATAAATGACTTTTATTTGACATACTGAATTTAGATAATACTACATATTAAGTAAGTTATGAATTACAGTTGCTTAGTTCAGAATAACATTGTGATGGATATGACAACATAGTTTTCACATTAATAAACAATAGCTATGGCAAATTGTATTGAATATGGATTCTACACATATAACATGTCTCTTAACAACTTTATCTAATTTTTTAACTGGTACATTCAGATTGGTGGTTTTTTCTTTTATAGGTTTTTACTATCTCCTACTGAAAATGACAATTTTGATAGCAGTCTTGTTCACTTTCGGTGCCAAATGTCAACACAACACTTTTGACGAAATTGTTCTTCAAATTGTATAACATATTTGTATTATATTATCCTTTACTTCTTTGTGCACATAAGTAGTGCTTTTTAAGAGGGCTTTATTTCATATCACTGCTCTGAAAAAATACAAATATTAATTTACAAACAACTATTGTCAAAATTACAATATAAAGATTAAATTACAAATAGATAATTCACAACAAATATTTCAGACTTACTATTTGTGTCAAAAGGTACTGGACATGGAATCGCTTGATAAAATATTTAGCAGCTCTATGGTTTTTCTGCATTACTGGTTGATGGTACATCTTTTGAATCGGGTATTTTTAGATACTTTTTCTTAAATTCAACCATTTCTTCATTTTGTTCAACAATTCTCTTTCTCAAAGAGTCGAGTTCTTTATCTTTTTTCAGTTTTTCTTTTTCCAAGGTGGGAATTATTTCCTTTGCTTTCAAAATGCGCACTTTATCGTTTTCAATTCTGTAGCAAAAATTTTCCTCATTAACATTTCTTAATGCGTCAAGGTCGATATTTGTCTGTTTTACTTCCTTTTCCAAGTTGTCAAGGAGGCGAATCAATTCTTCTTG